AGACACAAATATCTAGAGGAGGCCTTTCTGTCATCTCTGGACATTAGAGTAAAGCTAGTGCTTGCCTTCATTTTAATTCCTAGCAGCTAATGCTGCATTACCATGACTTTCGCCTAAGATTAATCGAATTAAAATCACTATAAGGAAAAAGTATTTATATATTTCTTACCCATTAAATGCATATCTCTGTATTCATTTAGTTAAATTCAGGCATATTTGTGTCAAAAGCTAAAACAAACTTGAAAATCTACTCTAACAATGACACAACAGTGCTTAAGTAATTTTTGGAGGGTATAATATTTGTTAATGTCATCAGGCGGAAAATATTACTACCTCACCACGCACAAACTACAAAATGCAGAGATGTTTTAAATGAACAATTACTTAAATACGATGCATTTTAAAGAAAATTTCAAAGAATAATTATTTGTTCAGAATAATCAAAACTTAAAGTATCTTGTTTTTTTTTTATAATTAAGATGGTGGCGTAGGTACTATTTTTATTGTAAATAAGAGAAGAGTGACACAGGGTTTCTAAACCACTGGTGATAATGGAAATATTTAAACGTACTGAATAATTAGACCAAAGATTACAGCCTAAATACATTACAGCCATAACAGCATAAAATTGTTGTTTTATCACGAAGGGTTTCTCAGTAAATAAAGAATATAATAAAAATTTCGAAATCTTTTGACACCCTTTATCTCGAAAATGGTGAACTTTTGAGATATATTTGGGTAGATCTCTTTAACTTCGACTGTACAATCACCCCTTGCAAGGATACCTGTCATACCTGAGACACCCTGTATACGTTATAACTTATAACAGTGCTACATTTGCTACATACTATGGAGAGTAGAGGTAAGGAGCAGTCTTTGTCTAAAAAGTGCCTGAAAAATAAAGTACAATTAAGATGGCATTACTGTAGTTGAAGACCCACATTTGAAACAAAGCACACTTGGTTGCACTATTTATTTAATGTAGGTACTTTTATCAATTATTCTAATCCACACAACTACTTCTATCGCCAATGGTTGCTCACTAACGCCAATCTGGACGCCATTTTAGCTACTGCTTGAACTACTATTGCACGCGTTTAATCGGACACTTTTGCAGCTAATGCTCCATAAGAGAGAATCCTCTTTGCCTCTACCCTCCATACTACATACTTACTAAGAATGTTTACATTGTTTTTTACTTTTTATAGTCATGTAGAGGTTTAAGAATGAATGTGTGGCTACACATGTCTGCAAGTAACCCATTTTAAGTATTACCTACGTTAAGAGAGCCAACCTGACGCCGGACGGACTAACCGTTGCAAGCGACAAGAAACTATGTGCAACACGGGATATGGACCACGGCAAATTGGCGCCAAGGACCAGATACTTATACCTGCGAGGGACTCCACAACACTGAGACGACTCTTCAGCGAACGCTCGCTCCGACAACATATCTTTTTCACTAAAAGTAGTATTTCTCCGTTGAGAGAGTTTTATTTTCTGCACACCTAATCCAAAATTGCAATAATACATAGTGTGTTCCATTTAAAATAAGCAAGTTGATGGCGACTTCCGGTATAACCGGAAGTGGTACGTGGACGCCATTATTTTAGTTGAGAAAGGCATGCCCAAAAACCCGGTATCTCAAATTTTCAAAATTCAAATCGAAGTAGTCTGAAATAATTCTAATGGGTCGTCACCGTGAGACACCCTGTATTATAAAAAATAATTCTGCTTTTTATTATTTTAGAAACGTACATAAACAGATTCAATATTAATAATTAATACAATTAATAATCTTTATGAAAAGCGACTGATTAGAAAAATTAATACAGGGTGGTCCAGATTTTAATAGACAAACTTCGGGAAACTACTAAACAACAAAAATTAACATCACTTTGCTCTATGAACATAGGTGCAGAAAGCCACCGTTTATGAGATACAGGGCGTTGAAATTAACAAAAATAAAACAATTTTTTTAAATATCTGGAAAACAGCTTTATCAAATGTATCCAAATTTGGTACACATTTTTTTTCAAATATTTCTCCTATACTACACGGTCGAAATTATAGAGAGTGATTCATCACTAGCTTTTGAAATAGTAAGGGGGATGAAGCGTGCCGGGAACGAAAATCCAATGGCGTGTCTGCGTAAAAGGCAACAAGATATAGAAAATAATGAAAAAAGATAATAAAACATAACATCTAATATTTTTTACGGTTTGTTATAACCGGCCCTTTGATCCATTTTAATTATTACAGCATTTTAAAACGTCCCAATTGTGTTTTTTTAATTTATAAATTTATTATAGCCATGGAATTAGACCCCTCGGATACGCTTATGCTATGACGTTTCTCAGGACGGGTTAAATCAAGTCCGTTTACACCCACTAAAAAAGCATTTCCCTATTCCCTACCAAGTGCAAAAGACAGAGATAGAATATAGATCGACGTTCAGTGTAACTCGGTCTCTAGACGATTATAGATTCTATCGATGTGCGTAGCGAGCGGCACAAAGATAAATAATATTGAACCGTATAAAAATCATTTTATATTTTATACGCATTATGGTAATAGTGTTTTTATATTATGTCTTAGTCACTCTTTATAATTTCGACCGCGGAGTATAGTTTTGTATGCACATAGTTCAAATTCAAACACCAGTGGCGGAGAAACAAGGATGTCGTTTACTTATTTAAAATAAAACTTCTATGCCACTGAATTAATTGGTAATATGAATACATTTTATAATATTTTGAAACATTCCGGATCAAAAAACATTCTTTTATTTTTATCGAAAAGTGAATGGTTTGCGAGTTATGAGACATATGATTCAAGTAAACAAAGCATTGAAATGGGAAAAATAAAACACATTTGGGTGGTCCAGATTTTAATAGACAAACTTCGGGAAAGTTTTAAATAACAAAAATTAACATAACTGCTCTATGAAAATAGACGCAGAAAACTACCGTTTATGAGATACAGGGCGTTGAAATTATCAAAAATAAACTAATTTTTTTATATATCTGGAAAACCGCATCATAATATGTCTTATAACTCTTAAACCATGCACTTTTCGATAAAAATAAAAGAGTGTTTTTTCATCCGGAATGTGTCAGACCGCTGTAAAATGTATTCGTATTACCAATTAATTCAGTGGCATAAAAGTTTTACTTTAAATAAGGAAACGATATCATTGTTTCTCCGCCACTGGTTTTTGAATTTGGACTGTGTGCATATAGAATTAGGAGAAATATTTGAAAAAAAATGTGTATCTAATTTGGATAAATTTGATGGAGCAGTTTTCCAGATATTTAAAAAAATCGTTTTATTTTTGATAATTTCAACGCCCTGTATCTCATAAGCGGTGGATTTCTGCTCCTATGTTCATAGAGCAAAATGATGTTAATTTTGGTTGTTTAGTAGTTTCCCGAAGTTTGTCTATTAAAATCTGGACCACCCTGTATTTTAAATTAAATTAAAACAATGTATATCGTGTTAAACAAAGTATATAAATATAAACTAAAGATAAAAAAATATTACAAATTCTACTGTACAAAATTTATATGCATGTACCAAACCAAAAATTTCTTAAATCTTGGGAATTATTCTGATCCCCTTCAACTGATTGGAAACTAGTCTCTTGTTTTCTACTAATACCTTTCTTTGTTGTCAGCGTTGATGATTTGCTGTTCTTCAAACATTATTTCGTAATAGTGCAAAAATTTATTTCAGACAAAAACAGAAGAATGGACTATCACTATAAAAAATAATGTTGAGCACATTTCCGCTATATTTCTATGGTAAAATAAAATTACCAAATTATATTTGATTTTTTTTTAATACTTTGCTCCTAAATTTTTCTGCCCTCCCTGGTATGGAAGTTAAGAGCCGCCACTGGATTCTTTTCAAATTTAGATACATTTGCCATGCTAATTTGTTTTATCAGTTGCAAAAGTAATATTTATTTAGATTTTAACTACTATGTATAACAGATAGAATCAATCAAAGTTTAAATTCTGTGAAGATTCTAGAAACCAGAACGAAGAATTTATGGTACGGCCCACTCTAGAAAATCGGTCTTATATCGGTGGCTTTTCTGTTTTTTTTTAGAGGGCTTCCTAGAGCTTGCAGCCCTGGGCCCACACAACATCTACAACTTCAATGAATCAAATTGTAGTTTTATGACATTTAAATACTGTGCAAAAATATCTTATGCAATCGTTCTAAATTTTTGATGTTCATTTATTAATTTTAATGACTACAAAAGATAGTACGGAAAAAATCCAAAAACGTTTGAATATTTTTCTCTGTGACTTCTAATAAACCTTCTACCTATGTATCAAATTATAATTGACAATCCTATATATAGTGAAACATAAGGGGGATAACAAAAGATACCAGAACTCTCTTCGAGACATTCTTCACTGGAATTGTAAAATAGTCATGAGTAAGCATTAAAATATTCAATTCTCTTTATAACAGCAGCACCAACACCTATGTCAGTTCTTATAGTTTGTTGTAGATACATTATGAATACTAAGAAAACGAAATCATTATTCATGACAAGGTTTTCTCCTAACGTTTTATTTTAATACAAGGGTATCTTGCAAAATTTTAATAATTAAGTGTTATGAAAACAATACCAAAAAATGTTAGAAGTATCAAGTTTATAAAAATTCAGTTATATTAACCAAAGTACCTATAGTCAGCATAAACTCAAGAATCATATAGAAGTAAATTGTGGAATGAAGTCCAATTTTAAAGAAAATATATAAATATATTAATTTTAAATTTACCAAATAAATGTGGCAGCACATAAAGATGTATTAAGTATCAATTTCATACAAATGTCAAGTAAAATTATCCAAAGGCATTCGAATTTTAAAACTAGAAAACAAACGTTATACTTATTTTCAATTGGAGTCACAGAAAAATGTTATATTAGTTATAGCAATTACATGACAGATTGACAGAACGATAACCTTAATTTCTCTTACCTGTTATGGTGTATTATGTTTATGTATTACTGAAATCAAAACTTGTATATTCACCACACGATATGTTAATGTTCAAAAAAATAAATGCATTTTAAACTTTTAATCTACCACTTCACTATAACATAACATTTCTGAAAAACAAAACGTTTATTTGCTATTTCCTAACCTTAACATGTTTACGAGTAAGATATATGACAAGGAGCATTAATTGCAATTTATTATTACGCAATGGATGAACCAAATTTTCTTGACGGTAGACAACCACTTATACTCCTTGGATAAAAAGCGAATACATACATATAAATCAAGGAATAAAAATATCCTTGCATATACATGCATGTACCTAAATAACACTGTATGTGTATTATATTAACGAGTGTTCAAATAAAAACGTGGTCAAGTCAAGTTGGTTCTGAAAATTTGGACGTAGGGCGTAGCGTATAGCAAATGAACCTAAACGTCATCTGTCAAAGCGCTATATCGCCGCTATCAATTTGAAATTTGAATATTTTCGTTTTAAAAAGCGTTTAAAATGGTGTTTTCTCAAGAACAAAAAGTGTTTATCATAGAGTCCTACTTTAGAAATGGACGCAAGATTGATGGAATATGGAAGTATTCTATTGAGGAATGTTTCATAGAATTTCAAAATCAATTTCCCGGCGTTGTTGAGTACAAAATTTTTCAAAGTGCAGTTCAGCGTTGTGTTAATGTTTTTCGTGAAACGGGCAGTGTAACAAGAAAAGAAGGAAGCGGCCGACCTAAAAAGCGGACTGAAGAATTAAAAGAAAATGTCCAACAAATAATGGAAAATGCGCCAAGAACTTCTGTACGTGTTTTATCACAAATGGTGGGAGTATCAGTCGGTACCTGCCACACAGTGTTAAAAAAAGATTTGCGTTTGTTCTCCTATCGTTTAACTTGTCAGCAAGAACTTCATGAAGTTGATTTTCCGCGACGGGCTGTATTTTGTGAATGGTTTTTAAACAACTACGGTGAACTTCATAATATCACCTTTTTTTCTGATGAAGCCTGGTTTCATTTAAGTGGTTACGTAAACTCACAGAATATGAGAATGTGGTCTTCTGAAAAACCAGATAACTTTTTTGTCGAGGGCCCTCTACACGCTCAAAAAATTGGAGTTTGGTGTGCTCTCAATCGAAGGAGGATTTATGGACCTATTTTTTTTAATGGTACTCTTACTGCGCAAAGGTATAGAGAAGAAATTATCGCTCCTTTTGTTAACCAGCTGGAAGAAAACGAAATTACAAACTTTTACTTTCAACAAGATGGCGCAAGGGCACATACGGCAGGCGAGACGATGAATATGTTGAGGGAAGTTTTCCAAAATCGACTAATAAGTCTCAATGCTGAACATGAATTTCCACCGAGGTCATGTGATATTACGCCGTGTGATTTCTTTTTGTGGCCTTACCTTAAAAACACTATTTTTGAACTGCCTATTCCTGATTTAAACCATCTGCAGGCTCGACTTATAGACAAGATTCGTGAAATTAACAATACCCCGAGCATCTTAGAAAATGTCTTTAATTCTTTGAGGAACAGGTGTGAAAAGTGCTTGGAACAAGGAGGGGGACACTTTCAGCAGCTGCTTTAATTTATTGTTATAACAAGGAGGGGGACACTTTCCGCAGCTCCTTTAATTGTTTGTTATTGTTATCACGATTATTCTTTAAAATAAAGTTATATAGTCATTAACGTTATTGAAACTGACAGCTGCTATACAGCTCGTTGAGAAATGAGGTTAAGTTGGTCGCTATAAACTACTCCCTACGTCCAATGTGTCAGAGCCAACTTCGACCACGTTTTTATTTGAACGCTCGTTACATGGAGACTAGTATGTATAGTATAGTATGTATAGTCTCCATGGCTCGTTACATGGAGACTATAGCAGTGTTGCCGCGCTGAGTTTCTGAAATGTACTGAGCAGAAGCAATAAAATGGACTAGATTGTACCTTTGACTATAGAGTTAAATAATAAAAGATTGTACTAAAATTTAGGATAAAGTGAAATATTGCCGTTTCTTTTGAATAGAATATTTTTTTGCATTGATGAAATTAAACAATTATGTTTTGCAAAGTATTTTTAATTTTTTATCATAAAATATAGGTACCTACACGAAACAAAAAATATAAATATAAAAACATAACAAAACTATTATTTTTCTAATATTCTTATTATATTATGGCATAACATACCATACATTAAAAAAACAAACAAACATAAAAAAACAAAACTAGGTGAGGGGTGGTTTTTTTGGGACTTACCCTATTTATTTTGCGATTTTCAGATTCTACGCGTAAAACTACCCCCGGAAATGCATTCTTGGCGAATTAGCAAAAAAACCAAAATCCACCTCGTATGGACTTTGTCGTTTTTTTGATGACTATAGTTATTGGGTACCTGGGCAAATCTCCGTCAAAAATGAATATACAAATTTGAAATTTGAGGTCTCGGGGAGACCTAAGAGCGAACATAATTTCAACTCGCCTCTTCCACCCTAGCAGGTGCGGAGGGGGTGAGGGGTGGTTTTTAGACGAACCCGCAAGAACGCGTGTCCGGGGGTAGTTTTACGTGTAGAATCCGAAAATCGCAAAATAAATAGTGTACGTCTAAAAAAAACCACCCCTCACCCCCTCCGCACCCCCTAGGGTGGAAGGGGTGAGTTGAAATTACGTGCGCTCTTAGGTCTCCCCATCTAGAGTACACCCCTAAAATTTCAGATTTTTATAATCATTTTTGACGGAGATATGCCAGGTACCCAAGAGCTATAGTCCAACCGTATTTTTAATCACCTCTTTCGTTAAAAGTAAATTATGGCATGTTGCCCTTTCTAACAAATTTCGGTTCTTTCTTTTAATGAGGTTAAGGCCTGAAAATATCCTTTCAGCCACAGCGCTTCCATGTGGTAAACACAAGATGTTTTTTAAGAAGGAACATAAATAAGGAAAAATACGGCACCGGTTTGCGTTTGTAGTTTATATTCTACTCGGCAATTTCGGGGAATCATCGACCGATTTGTATGACCTTGGTCTTATTTAAAAGTACTAGAATTAGAAATAATTTACAATAAAATGTACTTTTGTACTTTGCTGTTGAAAATGTACTAGAAATAGTACAAATGTACTGAAACGGCAATACTGGACTATAGTCTCCATGGCTCGTTAGATGCATTTTCGCGATCTGTTCAGGTTAGACAAGGTTAGAAATAAGACTAAAAGAGATAAAAACAGTAACTACAAGTCANTTTCGGTTAATTCTTTTAATGAGGTTAAGGCCTGAAAATATCCTTTCAGCCACAGCGCTTCCATGTGGTAAACACAAGATGTTTTTTAAGAAGGAACATAAATAAGGAAAAATACGGCACCGGTTTGCGTTTGTAGTTTATATTCTACTCGGCAATTTCGGGGAATCATCGACCGATTTGTATGACCTTGGTCTTATTTAAAAGTACTAGAATTAGAAATAATTTACAATAAAATGTACTTTTGTACTTTGCTGTTGAAAATGTACTAGAAATAGTACAAATGTACTGAAACGGCAATACTGGACTATAGTCTCCATGGCTCGTTAGATGCATTTTCGCGATCTGTTCAGGTTAGACAAGGTTAGAAATAAGACTAAAAGAGATAAAAACAGTAACTACAAGTCAGACGTATTCACCAATATTCACTCGCGAAAAAAAGCCTAAGATCACTGATCCTAATAATCGGGTTATCAGGTTAATCCGATATCAGGTCCCAGTTTCCAAAATCCCTCATATTACTTATTTCTTAAATATGTCGTATCGCCTTTTTGTAAGATATGAAAATTGTATTAATCTAGGATATGAGTATGTCTAGTGAATGTACCGAGTAGGTTAAGGGTTAAGTTGTTAAGTATACAAACAAGGATAAGGTGTGACACACGTGTGACATTTACGTCTTACGTCATTTTTAATGTCAAAGTTAAAACATTAAAAACAAGATTTAAAATGGGTCTTTTTGGAAAGACGCCGGAGAGAACTCCTAAAGATATGGTAATATACGATGACGATTTAATTGCCATAAAATAAATTAATATTTTTTTAAGGTAACAGAGTGGAATCATAAATTGCGAAAGGAAGGTTATCAATTAGACAGGCAAATAAAATGTAGGTGTCTATTACCCATAGATGAATATTTTATGCAATTTAAAATATTTTAGCCATTCAAAGAGAAGAGGAAAAAGTAAAGAGGTCCTTAAAGGAAGCTGCAAAGAAAAGTGATAGAGATACATGTCTCATTTTAGCAAAAGAAATCATCAGAGCACGAAAAGCTGTTAATAAGATATATACATCTAAGGCTCATCTAAATTCAGTTATGCTGCAAATGAAAAATCAATTAGGTAAGGTATAACAATAATTAGTTAAAGGACAAAATTTCAACAATAAATTAATATTAAATAAAATATTGTATTTAAACATTAAATCATGTCGCCTAACATTTTAATTCACGTTAATCAGAAAATGAATTGGTCCAAAATAGTCACATAACTCTATTGTAATGCAGTATTTAGTAGTGTAATAGATGTTTTACATTGACAATTCATTGATCAAGTAATTAATGAAGTCGCTTCATCAAGAAATTGGACAAGTGTGATGCACCAAATCAGCTGTCAAATAACTTCATCAAGTTCTTGACGAATTAGAGCATGTTCTAATTTTTGTCAATTTCTTCGTGAAGTTCGGAAGTACCAACCCAACAGATTTCCAGCCTCAGATCAGTAATGAGGTTATGTTATTGGAATATGTAAATAATTGTGTGGCGTCGTGCTAGTTTTGCATTGTTTTTACTGATTTGTTATGTACAAAAATTAATGTTTATATAATATGTGTCAGAACAGTAGCGCTGTTGTAGCACTACAATTATGAGTGGAAAGGTGACATTTTTGAAATTTATTTGCTTCTTTGATTCATTGGTAGAACCGATTCATTCGTCAAAAAACTTGACAAAGTGTAGCAGTGTAAAACCACACTGTTTACCAATAAATTCGTAAATTAATTGATGAAGGGCTTCGTCAATTTATTGACGAATAAATTGTCAATGTAAAACAGCTATAAAGAATATAAGTCATATTTTATCTATTTATTTCCAATACAATGTATTTCTAGATAAATATTGTACTCTTATGAACTTTCTTGATTTTTTCAAAAAAGCACCATTTTTGACAATTTTGTGATGCATAAGTATTTATAACCACAAATGGTATACTAATAGAGTAGAATTTCTAGTATTGAGTGCTGGTGGGTGGACCAGAAACTGTTTTTATAGAGCATAAAGCATACACTATATAGGTCGGTCGGCAACTGGCGGACCGCGGTCCAGATCCGAACCGCGGAAGGTAAAATACTGGACCGCCAAAAATTTTTTGAAAATATAAATTACTCAAATAAATTATTTAAAAAATATTTTTTTACGTTTGAGTGCCACCTTTATCATTTTTTCTAGTATTTTACAATTGTGACTGATTTGAGTTCTTAATGCAAATGAAAATAAAAAATTAGTAAGAAATATGAATTTTTTCTGGACCTCGTTAAACAATTTATGTATATAATTGGATGTCAGTCCAATTGACTAATTGGGGTATACTGGGCAGGTTTTAAAATGATATGGTTAAGATCATTTAGTGATGAAATCTGAGTGCCGACAATATGCATTAATTTCTTATACAAGTACACAATAATTTTTTTTCAAGAATGATGTTTTCTCGAAAAATCAAAAATAAGAGTGTTTGTAAGAGTATAGTACACCGTCCTGGAATACATTGTATATGTAAAAACACTGTATATGTAGCCACTCTCCGGGTTGCTGGTTCTTTGCAAAAATCGACAGAAGTTATGACGGCTATGCAGAGATTAATCAGAGTACCTGAAGTGGCGCAAACAATGCAAGAAATGTCTAAAGAGATGATGAAAGCTGGAATAATCGAAGAAATGTTGGACGAAACTATGGAAGATCTTGAAGATACTGAAGAAATGGAAGAAGCAGCACAAAGTGAAATCGATAAAGTACTATTTGAAATTACAGAAGGTAAAATTGGAGAAGCTCCCTTACCACCTTCAGAACCTGCTTCTAAAGAAGTGCCAGCTGCAGAAGAGCCTGAGGAAGAAGATGAAAATGAAATTCAAGAAATGCAAAGTAGGTTAGCTGCACTAAAATCATAAATAAACGCCTCGCAAACAACAACTATAAATTTTAATGAAAATCGAACTTTATGTGTATGTTAATCTGTAACGTAATCTACTAATAATAATTGCAATACAATTAATTATTAATGTACGAAGTAGTATGAAACTGGAAATTGTAATATGGCTTGTGCCTTTGCCGCAATTTATTTATTATAAATCATTTTCAAGAAAATGCGTTTAATATTAAAGTACACTGCTTATTTTTTGTTTTTTGTTATATGCAGCTTAAACAAAAGTATTAACAATTTTTTAATGATATCATATATTTTACTAGATTGTATTTATATGTAATTTCTGGACATTTTTGTTATGGAAGAAGATAAATTAATTTGACAATATTTAATTTGGGGTTTGAAATTTCTAATTTAGTTGAATTTGATTATAGTAGATTGAAAAAGAGTTAAACCAAAAGATTAGTGCACAGTACACAATGAAAAGCCTTGTTTTAAAGGAATGAGAGAAGCGAGTGACAGTGTTGTTTATTTAAAAATTTGTACATTTATGTACATAAGTTTTTCTAATTTAAACTTTTTTGTACTGCTCACTGTTCCATATTCCTGAGTGATTATTGCTCTACTATAATCACATAAGCAAAATATTTTTTTAATTATTAGAAAATAGAATCTGTACAAAAACAATCACTTATGTAAAAAAATAGAATTTAATTAAAAAAAATTACAAACTTAGAATATATCAGTAAACAAAACGTAAAATATTTATATAAAGGGTTTCTCAGGAGGAAGACTTTAAACTTTTGGAGTGTACTCTATGTGAATCAGTAATTTTAAAAAACTCAAATATTATTAAGCATCCAATTTTTTTTTAAACAACTGTACAAGAACAGCACCACATGAAGACTACAATGCTACGTATGAGGAATTCTGTTGACTTTTAACTTGAAAAAAAAGAATTATTTCTGCGTGTAGAATACACTTCTAGAGTTTCTGGTGTACCTCTCAATTCATCTTCTATAGGTATGCGCATACATATATAAATTTTAACTTTTTTTGTGAAACTGTTATATAAAATTTAAATAATTTAAATTTTAAATTATAGAAACATATAATTAAATTATATATATATTTGTGTATTAGTTAATATTTAATTTATATAATTAAAACTAAAAATTAAAAATATTTTTGTAAAAATTGTACTTAGCAAGCTACATATGTATAGTGTTTTAAATAATGGCTGTTCCAAATGCTTTAATATTATTTAATATATTTACACATGATCAGGTGTGCTTTTTTTCAAATAAAACTATCAAAGAACAACTTTACTTGTGGTAAAAAAATAGTGTTTGGTCTAAATATAAAGATATAAAAAAAAACAAAAAATCGACACAATATTTCCATATGATAGAAAAATAGAGCCTGGGATAAAGTGAAAATCGAGTTCAACCCTATTCCTCCTGATAGTTGCTATACAGATGCTGGAGTTTAAAAAAGGCTTAATGGAAATAAGAAAGGGTTCGAGAAAGATTGCAGCATATGAACAACTCCCAATAAAATACATTGGAAGGAAGTATAGTAAACAAAGATCCTTCCTACAATCTAGTTTGATCATGAAATAAATGATAAAAGAAAAATTATCAATTTGGAGAAGAGATAGGTGTTACACGCCATACCCATAACAACGAAACGGCAAACATATACGTAGCACCTACTCTGTCCACCGTATGACGTTAATTGCTGCTGGGTTAATATGAGAATAATAACCTAATAATCTATTTTTATTTTCTGTTCTTATCACACAGTAATATAAAGTATCCTATTCAGTTTTAACTTTTTAAAAATTAAAAATAACGATCAATGATTTTTTTAGTTATACTCCGCGGTCGAAATTATAGAGAGTGACTCAGACATAATATAAACACACTATTACCATAATGCGTATAAAATATAAAATGATTTTTATAACGGTTCAATATTATTTATCTTTGTGCCGCTCGTTACGCACATCGATAGAATATATAATCGTCTATAGACTGAGTTACACTGAACGTCCATCTATATTCTATCTCTGTCTTTTGCACTTGGTAGGGAATAGGGAAATGCTTTTTTAGTGGGTGTAAACGAACTTGATTTACCCGTCTTGAGAAACGTCATAGCATAAGCGTAGACGAGGGGTCTAATTCCATGGCTATAATAAATTTATAAATTAAAAAACCACAACTGGGATGTTTTAAAATGCTGTAATAATTAAAATGGATCAAAGTGTCGGTTATAGCAAACCGTATAAAAATATTAGATGTTATGTTTTATTATCTTTTTTCAATATTTTCTATATCTTGTTGCCTTTTACGCAGACAGGCCAATGGATTTTCGTTCCCGGTACGCTTCATCCCCCTTACTAGTCCAAAAGCTAGCGACTCTATAATTTCGACCGCGGAGTATAGGTATTTAATTTACTGTGGTAGAATTGGTACTTAAAAAGGAGAAACTACTTATTTATTTAAAAAGTGTACTATCTTCAGACTTAGTATTGTAGCTTGCAGCTATATTATATGTATCATTAATTAAATTATGATTATTATAAATTTAAAAATGATAGAGCAATCATTTACGGCTATTGGAGGGGAAAGGACCGTCGTCACCATCCATCAATAATGCTTTCTTCGCTTCGCGCCTAACTCACCATTTTTTAAATGAGAGAATATAGATCTGTTAATAGCTACTCTTGTTTTATCTATAGTTATTTATTTTATTTTTTTCGTTTTACTCGTTCCTGTGTTGTTTGGAAAAAACAACCTATATCATTGGAAAAAGATACTCCATTTTCTGTCTCAATGCTGTACACTCCCAACATCATTTGGAAAAATCGCGGATGTTTCCAAAAATCCGTGTAAAGCTTCATAAAAACCAAAATTTTGCGGAATGGATTTTTTCAAAATTCATTATCTCCCGCAAGACCTTCGGGTCAATTAACTCTGTTAAGTATCAGATACCAAACAGACAGACCAGGCAGAAGTGCTAACGTCGTATACCAGAATGAGATGCTATTAAACCAGATTTCACAGTAGCAGATGAACGGGCGCGCCGTTATTTATTTCTTATTCCTCTTTGTCTTGCCTTATCTCTGTGGGCCTGCGCAGCCTCGTGAAGGTGGGCCCCATCCATCGTCTACCCCGACCACACGACCACAAGCATGGCCGGTGTAGGCTCTTTGCGGGACTTTGCTACGCTTGGTTATACTTTTTTTTGTTTAAAAAACTATTTGTACAAAATATATACACAGATAAGAAAAAAAAACAAGGGAAAAGAAGTAAAAAAAGAATAAATAAAAAAAAACGTAGAGGTAGTTTGGAAGCGTAAGTGCGTAACAAAGGTGCCGACAATCACTCAGCCTGAAGGGTGTAGGTTCAGTAAAATATTTTCAATA